TTACCCATTTTTGGGAAAATAGCAAAAAATAAAATTTTCTGCTACTTTGAGGCCAATTTCAAGCTATTCAGTCCGTATCAACTAAAATTACCTCTATTTCAAACAGTCAGAGTTTTGCACACTCGCCGAACAGACCCATTCTCTTGTATCTAGGGCAAAATTTGCCATTTGACGCTTATCAGAGTAAGTGTAGCTCATGACGCAGATCTAAGTGACAGACCCTGGTGTCAATGACAGTTATGTGGACGGACAACCAAAGGGTTAAAAAAACACAATTCACCTAAAATAAACTAAGCATTGTACAGTGCTTTATGAGGCACACAGATGTTATGGACATGTTATTACAGTTTGATACAAGATTATTTAACTTAGCACAACTTAATACAGTCGATCAATGTGAATACAGTGGACCCCCGCATAACGATTACCTCCGAATGTGACCAATTATGTAAGTGTATTTATGTAAGTGCGTTTGTACGTGAATGTTTGGGGGTCTGAAATGGACTAATCTACTTCACAATATTCCTTATGGGAACAAACTCGGTCAGTACTGGCACCTGAACATACTTCTGGAGTGAAAAAATATCGTTAACCGGGGGTGCACTGTACACTGGTTGCTGCTACCTAAGTAGCTTGGTATCAGTGGAGAGGCTTGGTGTGGCCCAGTAGGACCCAGTAATGTCCAGTAGGGCCACACTGGGAAATTTTTTTGCTGCTGTATGATCAGCAAAGGTACGTACTCTTACCGCTGAACTTTGTTATAAAGTTTATTGCACAGAAACAATTAAACCATCCATGACTTGTTTTCAGGCTTTCCTTCCTGCTCTCACACTGTTTTATAGTAAGAAAATACTTTCTTCATGAATCACAATGAAATTAAGTGGCACATGTTTCTTCATATTCTCCTAAATCACCTTTACTGTTCTGTACTGTTTCCAATAAAATATAAAAAAATAAAATCCACTTACTCAGAAGTTTGTTCACTTCTAGTGAACAAACTGTTGATTTCCTCACAATGTAGGCCTTGGCTACATCAGCCACATGTGCACCCCCTTTAAACATGTGTTACCTCTTTTTCTTCACTGGGCATAGTTTCATGCTTAAAATTCTTCTTGGCACCTTCACCTACACTAAGAATTCCTTTTTGATTCCATGATTAACAGCCAAACATGACATGGGGTATAATAGGTAGGAAATGGAGTGATAACACAGGAATGAGTAATCATGTGGTATGCATCCAGGAGGCAACTGGTGGTGGCATGGGGGTGTGTAATCAAAGCAAGGTCTGCGATGAAACAAAAGAGGCCTGAGGTGCCTGGGAGGGGAATTGGCCCGCTTGCAGCACCCAAATAGCCGACCATGTCAAAGTACAAGGTGGAAATTGTTAGAACCACAGAAATGTGGCAAACCTTCAGAGCAAGAGGTGGAAATGCATACATAAAAAGAAACTGTGATCAGGCAGAATTGGAGTAGGAAGTCTACTGTACACACTTACCCCTAGAGAAGAAACTACCATTTCTTTAAGATTTTGTCACTGGGTATATTAATATTTGCATTCTGCAGTTATTACCTTAATTTATAACTTCTGTATTTCCACATTCAACTTGACTGTCAAACTTCCATGTGTGATAATTCACTCACTAATAAGTACAGCAAGAAGAGACACAACAGATGATAAATTAAAAAAATTGCTACTAACCTTGAGTGTTCGCTCTGATGTAAACATTCGAGGACACTTGGGACAGCGAACATAATCTGCACGTTTGGAGTGAGTACGAAGATGTGAAGTCAAGTAGCGAGCTCTGGCAAAGGTTCTTCCACAAACCCTACAAATGTGACTCTCCTTTGTTTCACTAGGTTCTCTGCACTTTGGTTTATTTGGGTCTGGAATACTAGTTTCCTCTGGTAACTAAATAAAAATAAAATTATGATTTTAGGATATCACAAGGCTTCCTTTTTCACTGCTTGGTCAAACAGGCTGTTGTAGTGGCCCTCTGATCCTCACAGCCTGGCTGATTATTATTATTATTATTATTATTATTATTATCATTATTATCAAAAAGAAGTGCTAAAGCCTGGCTGATATAATTCAAAGCTGCATCACAATTGCACATGAACCTCCTTTTATAACAAATAGCTGTAGCTTATAATAAAAGAGACTTACTTCTTGCATCTGAGGGTGATGTGTCCGCATATGAACAGTTTCAAGATAAAAACGACGTTTGAATGAAGAGCCACAGATTTTGCACTGGTAACGCTGAGTGCTATGTTGTTCCTAAAAAATTAAAATCATAATTAACTGTTATATAACTGTAATAAGGTTAATGAGACTTGTATTCCCAGTGATATAACACAGTGTACTGTCTTATTTTTCCTTCCCCACTCCACTCCCCCTCATTACTCTCCCTCTTACAGTCTAGAGTACCTAAGTGAGATGTACTTGAGTGAGAGCCAACATTAAGAAAATTACTGTAATTACAGGGAGTTATTTAAATGCTCCTTGATATTTCAGATTTCAGAAAAGTATACTCTAATGGATTTATCTAACTCCCTTATCTGAATTTGTCTTGCTTGGTTTATCTTATAAATATTTTGATATATCTTGTCCCATTGCCATTTTCTTATTTCATCCTTCCTCCAACTTCAGCAGAGAATTTTCTTCAAAATTTTTGTCAGCTCGTTTAATATTACAACTGACTGTCGATTAACACGATAGTTGCATTTTTGCAAATGGCGTGTAATTAAAAAATTGTATAATATGAAATGGGGAACATATGGGAAAATAGGATTACATTCCTCAAACCCCCAAAAATGGCAAATTTTTTTTTTTCAAAGGTTTGCAATTCATCAAGACTCAAAATTAATCAAGTTTTCTGTACATTACATTATAGTTGCCATTGCTTGTTGATATAGAAGTGTGCAGGGAGGGTTGATGTGACCCTGTACAATACCTGTACAAACATATGACAGGCAGTTCCACAACTATTACTTGCCTCCACCACAATCACTTGGAAACATCAGTAAAATTTCCATATAATACTGGCCACAAGACGTGCATTTTTACTAACTAAATAAATAAAGGTAGTAGGTTGGTAGACAGCAACCGCCCAGGGAGGTACTACCGTCCCGCCAAGTGAGTGTGAAACAGAGACCTGTAACTGTTTTACATGATGGTAGGATTGCTGGTTTCTTTTTTTCTGTCTCATAAACATGCTGGAAAAGAGGTATATCTTGCTACTTCTACTTACACTTAGGTCACACTACACAGGCATGCACATGCATATATATCCATACACACATCTAGGTTTTTCTTAGTTTTCTTAATAGCTCTTGTTCTTTATTTCCTCTATTCTCCATGGGGAAGTGGAAAAGAATCTTTCCCTTGTAAGCCATGCGTGTCATATGAGGCAACTAAAATGCTGGGAGCAATGGGCTAGTAACCCCTTTTCCTGTATACATTACTAAAAAAAAAAGAGAAGAAAAACTATAAAAATGGGATGCCTTAATGTGCGTGGATGTAGTGCAGATGATAGAGACACTTGCTGATGTTGTGAATGAGAAGAAGTTGGATGTCCTGGCCCTAAGCAAAACAAAGCTGAAAAGGGTAGGTGAGTTTCAATGGGGAGAAATAAATGGGATTAAGTCAGGAGTATCTGAGAGAGCTAACGAAGGGGTAGCAATAATATTGAAAGATCAGTTATGGAAGGAGAAGAGGGAATATTAATGTATAAATTCAAGGATTATGTGGATTAAAATAAGGGTCGGATGTGAAAAGTGGGTCATAATAAATATGCATCAGGAGAGGAGTGTAGAGGAGAGAGAGAGATTTTGGGAGATGTTAAGCAAATGTATAGGAACTTTTTGAACCAAGTGAGAGAGTAATTGTGGGGGGGCCCAAAAAAGCTAAAGAGAAAAAGCTTTTAGGGGGGTTTGGGGTAGGTAATTTGGGGTCCCAGGTGAAAATGAAAGGGGGCCCTTTGAATGAACTTTGAAAGGGAAAGGGTTTAGTTATGGTATACAATTTTAAAGGAAAAAAAGTAACAAGATAGATTGGCAAAAATGACAGTATTTGTTGGACTCATATTGGTAATAAGATGTTAGTAGACTTCAGATGACTTTTATAGAGGGCCCCAGTAATCAGATCACTTTTTTTTGTAGCTACAAGAGAGTAAAATAATGGGATACAAGGAAAATAAAGAATAGGTAGGGTTTATAAAAATATTTTAAATACTATTATAAACAACTATTTAAGAAGATGGGCTAGTGAGAGTATAGGAATGGGGTCGAAAATGTATGGGGTAGGTTTAAGACTTTGTGTTAGGTTCACAAATTTGTGGTTTCAGGAAAGTGGGTCGGGAGGGAAAAGACATTGGGGAATGATGAGTAAAAGATGTAAGGGAGAAAAAAAAATTTGCATATGAAAGTTTTTTAAAAGTAGAAGTGATGCCAAGGAGGAAAGTATAGGGGAAAAAAGAGGTTTAAGGAGTGGTGAAGCAATGTAAAAAGAGAGAAAATGAAGGGGTGGGGAGTTTCTACAAAAATTTTTTTAAAATAAAAAGTTTTGGAGTGAGATTAAAATTGGGAACCTAGGGAACGAATGGATCTGACAGTTAAAAACGGGAAGAAAAGGGATTTAAAAGGAGATTAGAGGTATCAGGAGATGGGGGAATTTTTGAGGAATTGTTAAATGTTTTGAAAATAGGGGAAACTGTGATTTCGTTATGGGCAAGGAGGTAACATCTTAAGGAGTAAGGGAAAGCCCCCGTTTGAGGTGGGGAAGTTCGTGAGGCAATGGGAAAAAAAAAGGAGGGAAGGCGCTGGAAGTGGGGAAAAAAAGATAGAAATGTTAAAAAACAGATGGGGATAAAGTTTTGGGGGGGGGTTGTGCTTTTATTTAATAAATGTATGGAAGAGGGTAAGGTACCTAGGGATTGGCAGAGAGCATGCATAGTTCCTTTGTATAAAGGCAAAGGGGACAAAAGAGAGTGCAAAAATTATAGGGGAATAAGTCTGTTGAGTATAACATAAAGTGTATGGTAGTAGTTATTGAAAGAATTAAGAATAAGATGGAGAGTAGGATAGCAGATGAATAAGGAGACATTAGGAAAGGTAGGGGGTATATAGACCAAGTGTTTACAGTGAAACATATAGGTAAACAGTATTTAGAAAAGGGTAAAGAGGTTTTAATGGCATTTATGGATTTGGAAAAGGTGTATGACAGGGTGGATAGGGGGGCAATGTGGCAGATGTTGCAGGTGTATGGTGTAGGAGGTAGGTTACTGAAAGCATGAAAAGTTTTTATGAGGATAGTGAGGCTCAGGTTAGAAGATGTAGGAGAGAGGGAGATTATTTCCCAGTAAAAGTAGGCCTTAGACAAGGATGTGTGATGTCACCGTGGTTGTTCAATATATTTATAGATAGGGTTGTAAGAGAAGTGAATATGCGTGTCTTGGCAAGAGGTGTGGGGCTAAAAGATAAAGAATCTAACACAAAGTGGGAGTTGTCACAGTTACTCTTTGCTGATGACACTGTGCTTTTGGGAGATTCTGAAGAGAAGTTGCAGAGGTTGGTGGATAAGTTTGGAAGGGTATGTAAAAGAAGAAAATTAAGTGAATATAGGAAAGAGCAAGGTGATGAGGATAAAAAGATTAGGTGATGAAAGACTGGATATCAGATTGGAGGGAGAGAGTATGGAGGAGGTGAATGTATTCAAATATTTAAGAGTGGAAGTGTCAGCAGATGGGTCTATGTAGAATGAAGTGAATCACAGAATTGATGAGGGGAAAAGGATGATTGGTGCATTTAGGAATCTGTGGAGACAAAGAGCTTTTTCAGTGGAAGCAAAGAAAGGAATGTATGAGAGTATAGTTATACCAACACTTATATGGGTGTGAAGCATGGGTGGTGAATGTTGCAACAAAAAGAAGGCTGGAGGCAGTGGAGATGTCATGTCTGAGGGCAATATGAATACAGTGGACCCCCGGTTAACGATATTTTTTCATTCCAGAAGTATGTTCAGGTGCCAGTACTGACCGAATTTGTTCCCATAAGGAATATTGTGAAGTAGATTAGTCCATTTCAGACCCCCAAACATACACGTACAAATGCACTTACATAAATACACTTACATAATCGGTCACATTGGGAGGTGATTGTTAAGCGAGGGTCCACTGTATAATGCAGAGAATTTGTAGTTTGGAAATTAAGAGGAGGTGTGGGATTACTAAAATTATTATCCAGAGGGCTGAGGAAGGGTTGTTGAGGTGGTTAGGACATGTAGAGAGGAGGGAACAAAACAGAATGACTTCGAGAGAGTATAAATCTGTAGTGGAGGGAAGGCGGGGTAGGGGTCGGCCTAGGAAAGGTTGGAGGGAGGGGGTAAAGAAGGTTTTCATGTGCGAGGGGCTTGGACTTCAAGCAAGCATGTGCAAGTGTATTTGATAGGAGTTAATGGAGACAAATGGTTTTTAATATTTGACATGCTGTTGGAGTGTGAGCAAAGTAACATTTATGAAGAGCTTCAGGGAAACCGGCAGGCCGGACTTGAGTCCTGGAGATGGAAGTACAGTGCCTGCACTCTGAAGGAGGGGTGTTAATGTTGCAGTTTTATAACTGTAGTGTAAGCATGCTTCTGGCAAGACAGTGATGGAGTGAATGATGAAAGTTTCTCTTTTTCAGGCCACCCTGTCTTGGTGGGAATCGGCCAAAAATATGAAAAATGTTCAAAATAACAAAAAACTTCTCAGGTTATCACTGTTCTGTTGTTATTGTTGGGTTTAAAGGTTGTGCTGCTTCAAGGGTCTCTACAACCATCTCACCTGTTGTGAAATTGATTATTTAATATTATACATGTGGAATACGGCCAGTTTGTTTAAAGAAGAATACTATGCATATTCATAATTTTATTTAAATAAAATATTAAAATAAAGTATAATTTCCCTTGCATTTTCAATAATAAAAATAAGAGTAGGAAGCAGAGGGTGGGGAGGGAGGGACGAGAAGATGTAACCATTGCCAAAACGATATCAGAAACACGGCTGGGACAAGTGTAGAAGCCTTCAAGAGGAAACTTCACCAGGTGCCAGATCAACCAGGCTGTGATGGATATGTGGGGCAGAGGGCCTCCAGCAGCAACAGCTTGGTTGACCAGGCAAGCACCAGACGAGCCTGGCCCATGGCCGAGCTCAGAGAGTAGAGAAGCTCTCGAAACTCTTCAAAGGTATATCAAAGGTATACCCTCTCACAAGTCTTTATCACACTACGAATTCTCTGCATAGTATTTACACCACACATTGCCCTCAGACACATCATCACTGCCTCCAGTCTCCTCCTCACTGCAGCATTTACAACACATTGTGTTCATACAACTATACTCATACATTCCCTTCTTTGCCTCCGTGGAAAATATATTTTGTTTCCACAAATACGTCAATGCACCACTCACCTCTTTTCCTTCATCAATTTTATGGTTAACCTCATCCTTCATAAACCCATCTGCTAATAAATCTATACCCAAATATCTGAACACATTCACTTTGTCCGAATTCCCTCCATCCAATGTGATATCTAGTTTTTCTTTACCTATCTCGTTTGATACCCTCATCACTTTACTCTTATCTATGTTCACTTTCAACTTTGTTTAAATATCGAAGTCAAATTTCTGCAGTGTTGCTGTCATGATCTGTTGGGGCAAAAGTAGAGAAAAAAAGGGGAGTAGAAGAAGGTAGTGGTGAGAGAGGATCAATGGGGAGTATGCTGTGCTTTCTCTGCCCAAAGGGACTTTTTTTTTTCAGTGATCGCAACAAATATTACTGAGAGAAAATTGTAACATCAGAATGCTTTTCACAGAATATTATGCTGATCTGAATCCTCCTTACAGAATTTCACTTATCATAAACTTCTGTCTAACAAGTTTCCAAGGTCTGATCTAATTTACACCAGGTTTAAATTCATACAAACAAATACCAAAGATGCAGAATGCTACATGCAATTAAATAATAGTTTAAAAAGACCTGTGAGCAAACATGAGGACTAGGACATATTTATTAGATGACATTTCAGTCCTGGGACCTTCATCATTTTTAAGGTTAGAAGTGATCAAGGTCCCAGGACCAAAACAATTTCTAATGAACACATTCTAGTGTTTGGTCACATGTCTTTTTATACCAACTTTTCAGAATCAATTACCAAGGTTTATAATACAAATAAATAATATTTGATCTAAATTTTTTTTTTTTTTTCAACAAGTCGGCCGTCTCCCACCGAGGCAGGGTGACCCAAAAAGGAAAGAAAATCCCCAAAAAGAAAATACTTTCATCATCATTCAACACTTTCACCACACTCACACATTATCACTGCTTTTGCAGAGGTGCTCAGAACAACAGTTTAGAAGCATATACCTATAAAGATACACAACATATCCCTCCAAATTGCCAATATCCCAAACCCCTCCTTTAAAGTGCAGGCATTGTACTTCCCATTTCCAGGACTCAAGTCCGACTATATGAACATAACTGGTTTCCCTGAATCCCTTCACTAAATATTACCCTGCTCACACTCCAACAGATCGTCAGGTCCCAAGTATCATTCGCCTCCATTCACTCCTATCTAACACGCTCATGCACGCTTGCTGGAAGTCCAAGCCCCTAGCCCACAAAACCTCCTTTACCCCCTCTTTCCAACTCTTTCGAGGATGACCCCTACCCCTCCTTCCTTCCCCTATAGATTTATATATGCTTTCCATGTCATTCTACTTTGATCCATTCTCTCTAAATGACCAAACCACCTCAACAACCCCTCTTCTGCCCTCTGACTAATGCTTTTATTAACTCCACACCTTCTCCTAATTTCCACACTCCGAATTTTCTGCATAATATTACACCACACATTGCCCTTAGACAGGACATCTCCACTGCCTCCAACCGTCTCCTTGCTGCTGCATTTACCACCCAAGCTTCACATCCATATAAGAGTGTTGGTACTACTATACTTTCATACATTCCCTTCTTTGCCTCCATAGATAACGTTTTTTAACTCCACATATACCTCAACGCACCACTCACCTTTTTTTTCCCTCATCAATTCTATGATTAACCTCATCTTCATAAATTCTCCGCCGACACGTCAACTCCCAAGTATCTGAAAACATTTCCTTCTTCCATACTCCTCCTCCCCAATTTGATATCCAATTTTTCTTTATCTAAATCATTTGATACCCTCATCACTTTACTCTTTTCTATGTTCACTTTCAACTTTCTACCTTTACACACATTCTCAAACTCATCCACTAACCTTCGCAATTTTCTTTAGAATCTCCCATAAGCACAGTATCATCAGCAAAAAGTAACTGTGTCAATTCCCATTTTGAATTTGATTCCCATAATTTAATCCCACCCCTCTCCCAAACACCCTAGCATTTACTTCTTTTACAACCCCATCTATAAATATATTAAACAACCATGGTGACATTACACATCCCTGTCTAAGACCTACTTTTACCGGGAAGTATTCTCCCTCTCTTCTACACACCCTAACCTGAGCCTCACTATCCTCATAAAAGCTCTTTACAGCATTTAGTAACTTACCACCTATTCCATATACTTGCAACATCTGCCACATTGCTCCTCTATCCACTCTATCATATGCCTTTTCTAAATCCATAAATGCAATAAAAACTTCCCTACCTTTATCTAAATACTGTTCACATATATGCTTCAATGTAAACACTTGATCTACACATCCCCTACCCACTCTGAAGCCTCCTTGCTCATCCTAATTCTACATTCTGTCTTACCTCTAATTCTTTCAATTATAACCCTACCATATACTTTTCCTGGTATACTCAGTAAACTTATTCCTCTATAATTTTTACAATCTCTTTTGTCCCCTTTCCCTTTATATAAAGGGATTATACATGCTCTCTGCCAATCCCTAGGTACCTTCCCCTCTTTCATAAATTTATTAAACAAAAGTACCAACCACTCCAACACTATATCCCCCCCTGCTTTTAACATTTCTGTCATGATCCCATCAGTTCCAGCTGCTTTACCCCCTTTCATTCTACGTAATGCCTCACGTACCTCCACCACACTTACATTCTGCTCTTCTTCACTCCTAAAGATGGTATACCTCCCTGGCCAGTGCATGAAATTACTGCCTCCCTTTCTTCCTCAACATTAAAAGTTCCTCAAAATATTCTCGCCATCTACCTAATACCTCCCTCTCCCCATCTACTAACTCCCTACTCTGTTTTTAACTGACAAATCCATACTTTCCCTAGGCTTTCTTAACTTGTTTAACTCACTCCAAAATTTTTTCTTATTTTCATTAAAATTTCTTGACAGTGCCTCTCCCACTCTATCATCTGCTCTCCTTTGCACTCTCTCACCATTCTCTTCACCTTTCTTTTACTCTCCATATACTCTGCTCTTCTTATAACACTTCTGCTTTTAAAAACCTCTCGTAAGCTACCTTTTTCTCTTTTATCACACCCTTTACTTCATCATCCACCAATCACCCTCTTTCCTCCTGCCCCCACCCTCCTATAACCACAAACTTCTGCCCCACATTCTAATACGCATTTTAAAACTATCCAAACCCCTCTTCAACCTCCCACTCTCTCTTTGCACTACCCACCTTTCTGCCAATAGTCGCTTATATCTCGCCCAACTTCCTCCTCCCTTAGTTTTATACACTTTCACCTCCCTTTTTACCTGTTGTTGCCACCTTCCTCTTTTCCCATCTACCTCTTACTCTAACTGTAGCTACAACTAAATAATGATCCGATATATCAGTTGCCCCTCTATAAACATGTACATCCTGGAGCCTACCCATCAACCTTTTATCCACCAATACATAATCTAACAAACTACTTTCATTATGTGCTACATCATACCTTGTATATTTATTTATCCTCTTTTACATAAAATATGTATTACTCATTACCAAATTTCTTTCTACACACATGTTTCTAAATACATGTTTTAATTCTGAAGGGAAGAATTTCCATAGAGAAAAAACAATACTTAACTTACTTGCTTCTTATGAGTACACACCACTAACAATACATATGGCCTTTTATCAATAAAATTAAGTATCTGAGTATCTAAAAGCAAAACAAATGCCAATCTGCATTAATATAACAAGACTAAGTACATATTACAGAATTATACAAATAATCCTCAGATATATCAAAAAGCGCACAGCATGAGACCATAACTCACCCGGTAATGTCGAATGTAGTCCCTCCATCGAACAAATCTTCTCTCACAGACTTTACATACATGTGGCCGAGAGCCTTCATGATTGTGCTTGTGGTCTTTGAGATCACGTACATACCTGTTCAGAATTAAAGTTAATACTATAGTTGTGGGGAAGCATTAAATCCACAGGGGCCATCAGTGCCTTGGGAATGGGAAGCAACAAGGTTTGACTCAAGGGAAGTATAGTTCCACTTCCATGGAGCAAGAGCCCTTCACCAGAATCAAGGTACCCTTCTTGAAGGGAAAATAAAAGCATTCACAAATGAGATAAAGTGAAAAGACATTTCATTTTTTGTATGTGTTACTGATCTGAGTATATTGTAAAAAAAATAAATAACCAAAAAAATTGCCTTATGAGATATATTATAAATAGTATACTGTATCAAATATTGCCTTATTACAGCTGCATCTTCAATAAGAGAAGATTAATTATAGTGGCAATGATTTAAAAAATTTACACTGCTAAGTGATTTATGACCTACAATGTAAGTGAACAGTATTTAGATAAGGCTAAAGAGGTCTATGTGGCATTTATGGATTTGGAAAAGGCATATGACAGGGTGGATAGGGGGGCAATGTGGCAGATGTTGCAGGTGTATGGTGTAGGAGGTAGGTTACTGAAAGCAGTGAAGAGTTTTTACGAGGATAGTGAGGCTCAAGTTAGAGTATGTAGGAAAGAGGGAAATTATTTCCCAGTAAAAGTAGGCCTTAGACAAGGATGTGTGATGTCACCGTGATTGTTTAATATATTTATAGATGGGGTTGTAAGAGAAGTAAATGCGAGGGTCTTGGCAAGAGGCGTGGAGTTAAAAGATAAAGAATCACACATAAAGTGGGAGTTGTCACAGTTGCTCTTTGCTGATGACACTGTGCTCTTGGGAGATTCTGAAGAGAAGTTGCAGAGATTGGTGGATGAATTTGGTAGGGTATGCAAAAGAAGAAAATTAAAAGTGAATACAGGAAAGAGTAAGGTTATGAGGATAACAAAAAGATTAGGTGATGAAAGATTGGATATCAGATTGGAAGGAGAGAGTATGGAGGAGGTGAATGTATTCAGATATTTGGGAGTGGACGTTTCAGCGGATGGGTCTATGAAAGATGAGGTGAATCATAGAATTGATTTTGATTTTGGATAGCAGTGGTTGTTTAAATCTGTAGGGTCACCACCTTTATGTATTGGTGTAACCCTTGCTGTCTTGAGTAGTTTCGGGAAGGTGCTAGTTTCTAGTGACTTGTTAAAAAGTAATGAGATAGCATGCGAGAGGACATGGGCCGCTCTCTTGTACAATAATGGTGGGACATGAGACAGATTCCCTGAGTTATTTTTAAGTGACTTTATAATCTCAGTGGGACATATTCTATGGCAAACATGATATGTATGCAAGGGATGGGGTTGATCTCTCTGGGGCTGGAGTGGTTGCATTAGCCAATTCGATTGAGGGGGTTATTGGTGACATGTCTAGGATTTTAAACTGATAGATTATAGTGGTATGGGTGTCTGTGGGAAACAATCGGGCTGCTGTACTAGGGTTGAAAACATCAGATATAAGCAGGATACCTCAGGGATATGTTTAAAAGACAATATTCAAAAAAAAAGTGCTAGTAAGGCAAGCAACTGATTAAAAACAAAGAGAGTATAGAGGGCAAGGGTGACTGCTCCTTTAAAGGGTTTACTATAAAAAGTGGGGTTCTAAAAATAAGATAGATGAGCAAGATTATTGAAAGTAAAGGGAAACATAGATATTTTTGGTATAACAAGCCTGGTTCAACTTGAAAGATAGAGAATCCCGTCTAATAAAACATACAGAGTTAAAACTATCCAACTGACAGGGTAACGGAAGGGGGGTGGAGTAAATGTTTCAAGATAATTTAAATTGTTTTTTAAAAAACATCAAAACCAAATCTGTTTGGCACAGTTTACGGGGGTCATGAAAATTTAAATTTTTTGGGTGTTTTATGGGCCCCCCGCCTTGAAAGAGAGTCAGTAATGCTAGGGGACGAATTCATAAGGCATCAATATAAAATGTTTGGTTTAAGGGATTTTAAATTTAGACAAATTGACTGGAACAAAGTACAGGGAAAACTTGAGTCTATTTAACTTTCTTGATACAGTTCGGGATTGTTCTTAAACTCTGTGACAAAACCCAACTAAGGAGAAAATCACTTGATTGGTTCTTGCCAAAAAAGAACACTAGTTAAAATTTTTGAGGTTAATGTGAGCTTAGGGAAAGCGCCCACAAATCACTTAGTTTCAATATAACGGGATTTCCCCGGAAAACTGCAATAAAATCTTGTCCCAGACTTTCGTTTGGGGCGATTTCAGGGGACAAAAAATTCCCGGTGGACAATTTTGGGGATGTTCTGACTAGGGGTGGAGGGGGTTTTGGTTGCCAAATGCATTTTCGGGGCATAGTTCCAGACAACTTTTGATCCGATTGGGAAAAAATTAGATCTAAAAAAAATGATCCCAAATGGATGAACAAAAATTAAAAACTCTCTTTATCAAAAGAGGCATAAAATTTGTTCAAAGAGGGGAGGAACAGGTTTTTGAAGTGCTGTTTCCCCAAAGACCAAACCCTTTTATAGAACTATTACCCCCCTTCCCCCCCGGACCATTTTAGAAGTTTTTTCCAGAGCTTGCCCGGAGTTAAAAACAATTGCGAGACAATAATAGGGGGCGACTTCAATACTGTTTTCAGCGCAAAAAATGCTACAAAAGATAAACAAATTCTGGTTTAAAATAGTACACCAAAAATTAAAATACCCCAAACCCGATCACACAGTTCTCAGCCACCCTAATTGCCCACATACTTTGTAACCGCTCGAGAGTTTTGCCCATTCGGGCTCATTCCCAAAGGTCTTAGTGATCATTTCATATTTCGCACCGGGAAATCACAGGGCTAGATGGCCTACACGGACAAAAAAAAAATTTGGTCAACTGAAACTACAGTAAAGAAACATGTAAAAGGGTTTACAAAATTGTGACGGACAGAGAAAACAATTTTCCCAACTAACATGCCGGGGAAAAATTCAAACAATGTTCACTACCCCCTTTGAAAATTTTGCCCCAGTTAAAGGGGTTGGATAAACGAAGAAGAACCCTGGATGACTACTGAGATATTAGTAATAAAATTTCAGAGACAGCGTAAAAAGATTTAAGCAAACAGACAGGATTTTGCAGCACTAAATAAAATTCCCAAAAGGGGTGAGGAACAGAGTACAGAGACTTAAAAAAGGAGCAAGGCAAAGCACTTTTCCCAAAAAAATTGAAGAGTAAAGCATAACCCCAGAAACTTGGCAACAACTAAAACCGGGGTATACCTAAGCCATAGATAGGCTAACTAGTACTCATTATCATAAAGGTTGCCACGAAAATCTAAGGGTGGAAAAATTTTTTTAAATTTCCCTACACACATCGTTGCTAACACTAGAAGTAAACTACCACGCATAAAATCCCTTTAACACAGACTCTGAAAGTTTCAAACATTTATACAAAAAAAGGGGGTAACCCCAAACATTTGTAATTAATGTATTCCATGATTTCACAAAAAGAACAACGGGTTAAAACCCAAACAAAGACCGGGCCCTGATAACACCTGTCTAAGTTCCAAAAAGATGGTGCTTTGAACTGTCAACCCCTATTGCCCCAAATAAATCTATCAATCACCAAAATACCGTACCGGAGGGGTTCAAGGGGCCGAGTTACCCCTTTCTTCAAAAAAAAATAATGGTCTGATGTAAGCAACTATAGGCCTGTTAATATACCAGAAAATATCTAAAATTCGGGGAGGGCGGGTTTTCTCAATGTTAAGTACCTAATGACAACGCTTCCCCATAGCTACAATCGGGCTTTAAAAGATCCAAATCAACCGACACCCCCCTTTTTTTAAACTGATGGATTACCTGAGAACTGAAAAGTCAAAGGGAACCTATAGGGGGTAACCCTTTGACCCCAAAAAACCTTCGTACTGTCAACCACAATATATTATGTAAAAAACTTTAAGCATCGGTATAGGGGTTTTTGTAGACGGTTTAAATCCTACCTTGCAAAAGGAGACAAATAGTCAAAATCAACAAAAAGGGAAACAGAAAAACCCCGCCCATAAAATTGGGGTTCCCAAGGTATATTCTGGGCCCTTATTATTCTTTTGTTATTCAAATGATATGCCTATCAGTGTAAGTGCAAACTCCTCTGATCAGAGACGTGCTCTGTAGTGACTAAAGACCCCAAAAATATTGCTAATGTTTAAAACTGGAACTGGAGTCCTGCAGTAAAAGGTTTTAACAAAAAACACATTAAAACCTGGGGGAAAATGAAGCCATTCCTTTGGAACGAAAAAAAAGGAAGGTTAAAATTTTAATGTTCCTGTAAAAGGGGAGTCCATAAATTGGTTTCACACAAAATATTGGAATCCCCCTTTACCCCTGCATGACAGGAGAATTGAAGGAACAGTGTAGTAAGAAAGCGAATCCAACTGAAGTTCCGTAAGACAAGACAGTGTCCTACCCTTGGGGGGGGGGAGGACCCCATGTCTGCCCTATACAAGCCATATGGATTACGCTTGTTCATGTACTCTGCCTTGACAAAAAAAATGAAAGATAGACTGCAAATCACCCCGAACAAAATCGAAGATTTACCCCGGGGGGACAAGAAACATGTAGGCCGGTAATTACAGCAGTTGGATTGTGAAATTTAAGACAGAGTAAAAAAACTGAAGCTAAATCATGTTTATAAAATTGCTCACAAACAGTGTCCAATATCTTGTGTCAATTTTTTTAAAAGGGTTGGGAAACCCAAAAAAATCTAGTACTGGGGGGAAAAGCACAACTTTGTAGTCCCCCATCATTTGGCCCGGGTCAAAAACCTTTTATTTACACAATAAAGGAATGGAAAAGACACCCCCACTTCAAAACCATCTAGCAGAACCAGTTCAAGAAAAGTGCCAAAAGGTGTCGATGAATGACTACAGAAAAAGGGGGGGGAATGTTTTCTATTTTTTAGCTAACATCGGAAATTTTACCTTATTCCAGAATGATCCGTATTGTATTATCTTTTTTTTATGATAATAAGATGTTTTTTTCATTTTAGAATAATAAGAAAAAATTATAACCTTTATTTTTTTTTTTTTTTTTTTATCACACTGGCCGATTCCCCACCAAGCAGGGTGGCCCGAAAAAGAAAAACTTTCACCATCATTCACTCCATCACTGTCTTGCCAGAAGGGTGCTTTTACACACAGTTTTTAACTGCAACATTAACACCCCTCCTTCAGAGTGCAGGCACTGTATTTCCCCATCTCC